TCTTGCATGTCATTATGAACCCCTCATTTTCCGACTTCATCCTACTTGACCTGAGGAAAGCAAAGGTCAGGTGCTTTCATGTTATTATCATATTATGTCTTAATGATGTTGAATTTCTGTGGAGTAGACAAAGAAGTATCAACGAATAATGATGAATGGTATTCGAAGGTTATAGATAATCTACCATGCACTCAATTCATTTTGTTTTGATTTTTAAAAGATTTGGTTCGATGTTATATTATGCTTTACATACTTTCAATACTTTTCTCACACAGATTTTATATTTGTCACATATTATTAATGTTTCACGTTTCAAACTGAGAAAAGTCACTACCAGCTCCACTAATCCACTCTGAGCTAATCTCATTCTACTACTGAATCTGCTAAGATCTGAAAGTGAAATTTGCAATTAAAAATTCCCTAAATCCGGATTTATGCATTAGGCGAATGAAAAATTCGTCCTGGCTCGCAAGCTTAATTGGCTTTAATTCGGGATCTCGAGGTATAACATAAACACGCGCATTTTATCAGATACGCTACGTTAACAATTTTTTTCTTCAACCCACCCTTATTACTTTGCTCGACATGGTTTATGATTTTAATATTCCGAGCTCCACTACTTTGCACCACAACATATTTCACCGTTTTATGAAATTTGGCAGGTCTCTTCGTGAGATATTAAATTTGAAAGTAATTTTACTCGCTATGGAGCGCATTCCTAGGTTTAATATTTTTCAACGGAGCAAATTGTGAAAGATCGTTTTGAACATGCGGTTTTTGTCGCAAGTCTTTTATAGGTTGGTATTAATCTTGTCTTTTTTGTTTCAATCATGGAATGCAGTTGAATGGCATGTTCGAGCACTCAATAAACTCCTCAAAACAATTGAACGATGACTTCTTCATGAGCTTGTAATTTTTTAACAAAATAATATGTTATATTATTTTGAAAGGCAATACAAATGTCTTCCAAATCCATTATGAATTATTGAATAATGTTTTGTTGTGTATTAGGTATACTTGAGAATAGTAAAGAACTACCAAAATCAAAATTAAAACACTTTAATTATCGAAATCAAAACTGAAGAGAAAGTTTTTTTCTATTAAAATTGATGGCTCAGTATCTTGTGTTTCCTCCTCGGAAGGAATCACAGCTGGAATTCGCCGGGGCATGGTTCTTATGAGCCCCCTGAGGTTTTCTTGAGGCAAACGCTCCCACATCTGTTTAAATCTGTTTAAAATCTGTTTTACCGTTAATCAGCTGTCGCCCCCATACGAACGACAACTCTCAGAAGTTGAGAAACTTGTGCAAGCTAAGGACTAACGAGGTCTTACCTTTTAACGTGTGATTCCTAACATCTTCTCAAAGAGCGATTTCCAGCTCATCTCAAGTACTGGGTCGGTTTTGACGGCTTCGGATGTTTCTTCTCAGTTGATTCCAGACTTGTTCGATGGGATTCAGGTCCGGGCTGCAAGCAGACCACTCCAAAGTGGTTATATTGTGGCTTGTAGGTACTAACGCACGGTCCCTGCAGCGTGGAAATAAAAATAAGGCGGTCAGGAATCCTTTGCGGATGACTACAAAGTCTGTACGATCGTTGAGTGTTCTTCTATCCCACACCTTTATTGATCCACCTTCAAATGGGCCGCTTGAAGTTAAGCAGCAGGAAATAAAACGTTCATTCTTTCATCTGTTTACTCTCGCTCGATCATCATTACCAGAAAGAGTAAATTCCAAAGGTCACATTATTATATTTATTATAAAACTCATTTTTGTACATGATCATTACAAAGTAGTGATCCTTTATGTGTTTTGAGGGGAGTATTTCTCTTTTCAATTTTCTGTTTAATATTAACTATTTCTGAATCATGTTTCTTGGACTTTTTCGAGTAATTAACCACACTCTCTGGGAAACGAAGACCAAGTGTGTCGTAAACTGTGGGCAAACTGAGAAAACTACATAACTACATAATACAGTGACAATTTAACTTACAATGTGCTTTATATCACAAACAGAAGGTGTCAAAACCGTTTTTAGGATAAGAAGGGGGAAATGGAATGACACAAAAAATAACTCACCACCAATAACCTTCAAGACCCCACCTATTACAACAAAAAAAAAAGAAAAGTAAGCCCCTACTTGTGATACTTCATTGAAAATGAAAATCCTATGAAAAACGCCATCCAGTGGTATAAATAATGAGTGTTGAAAATATATTGAAGAATTGAGAACTGTTAACATCTGTTTTCTTGGTTTTTTGCAGTCCATAACTGGTTTGTTCATTTCAGACACTCAGATGATATTAGTGTTAATTAGTAATGTCATTCAGGTAGGTTCCACGATGGTTCATATACCTGAACGCGTGGAATCCTGAAAAAAGGAAAAACTGTAAGTCACCTTCTAGAAAAACAGTGTCAGAGAAAAACAAAAGAGGGGTGCTTCAAATTGCAAGTCAAATTAAGGTCTTTCGACAATTTGCATCAATATTACATCAACTTGTCAAGTAAAGAATATTACTGGAGTTTTTTTCCCCACACCAAATCGTTATTTTCAACACCTCGACATGTGTTTTGATCACCAAGTGATCATCTTCAAAGAGGAAGATTGATCACTTGGTGATCAAAACACGTGTCGAGGTGTTGAAAATAACGATTTGTTGTGGGGAAAAAAACTCCAGTAATATTCATCACTACACCAAAGGTTCCAAACAGTGCATCATAAGAACTTGTCAAGTACTGCAACGACAGAACTATCACGTGAATCGGTAACGAAAGTGTTGAGATTCACCCGTACAAAATGCAAATTATTCAAGAATCAGTTGATAATGATACAGACCGACGAATTGAGTTTTGTGAACTCAATACTGAGGAAATTCGCCCTGATTCATAAAAGGTCACACTTAATATCCAGAAAAACGTAATGTTTGGTCAGGAATATCAGGCGTTGCTTTGATTGACTCTTTGTTTATAGAGTTCCAATAAAGTAGCGAAAATCATCCGGATATGCTGGAAAACACCATGGAACCTTTAATTACGTATTAATCAAAAGGGACGACCAAGGCAGTCTAGTTCTAGACGAAGATTTGTTATACCTCCACAAGTTGGGCACTTGCTCACTGTGCAGCTACAGTAAGGCACTTGTTGGATACTAACTATTCCAACAAATGGATTAGAAAGAGAGGTCTTAATAAGTGACCATCGAGATCAACAAACCTAACGCCACCTGATTTTTTTCTATGGGTTCACCTCTAGTCAGTTATTCATAAAAATCAACCTTCATTACTTGGGCAATTACGAGAAAGAATTACTGAAGCGTGTTGCGCTATTGCCAGAACATTGGCTAACATTCGAGCAGAATTTGAAAATAGACTGATTGAAACAACGATAAAAATTAAATAAAAATAACAATAAAAATTAATTGGCGCTCCGGGGCGACTTCATTGATTCCAGTGGCGCATTCGCTTTTTCAGCTGCAGATCTTGATCTAACAATGTCCTCTCTCGTATAAAACAAAATGTAGGGTATCTCCAGAGGCTCCAATAAATTCTATGCATCGCCAGAACACTTCGTGACACGACTGTCGTCAAACTTAAACCAGTCCATTTAGTCTTTCACCAAGGCGTAATAATAATGAAATAATGACTGATTTATTGTTTACCCAAAATACGGAACCCACTTTGAACATTCACTTGATTGATATTTTCAACAGATGTTCAGTTGATATATTTCATAATTTGAATTGAAGGGGTTATATTTTTAGGAGTGATTGATTTTTGAGAAAGAAAGTTTTTGGCTTTCTACTACTCCATCTTAATACAAAAAAAATGTGGGAATCTTCCAAAGAAAGGAAGGAAGTAATCAATTTGAAAATAAGTAACTCTATACATGTGTAGATCATGCAAAGAAGTAACTTTCAGACACAAACTGGAAGAAAGTCCTCCTGAAACATCTACTTTCATGTAAACATTGAATTACACGAAAGAAAAAATTCTTTCGAAACAAATACTTTTATATGAACACTGAATTATACAGAAGATACTTTTCTCCACTCAGTTTGTATTCCAAACATTCGTTATGGAATTGAATCAGATATCATTCACAGGAGTTCTACTTTAAATGAATGGTAACAAATTGCACTTACATGGAACACTGTCATCCTCACTGGTAGACATCGATGTTTCATAATATATTTACATTTTTGGATACCATTTTCCGAAGGCTTTTCAATGATGTATCACTAGTAGGGATTTGCTATTCAATTAAGCCTAGGAAGTTTTTGTGTCATTTTAATTTCCATTTCCTATTCTACAAACGGTTTTATGAAAGTTTTGATATCTCCTTTTGTTTGCGATTTATAGCACATTATAAGTTGTTAAATTGTCACACTGTATATACTCTTGAAAGAAGTCCACTTAGTCAGTGACACGTATCGCTTTTCCATTTTTTTCTCATACAAGAATAATGATTGGAAAATAAAGGTTTTGACTTTCTTCGTCTCCAGCTTTATACAAAAATAAAACTCACAAAGAAAGGAAGATACCAATTAATTTTGAAATCAACTCTTTATATTGCAAAGAGGTAACTTTCAAATACAAACTGAAATAAAAAGCCCTTTCGAAACAACTACTTTCTAATAAACATCGAATAATACAAAAAACATCATCCATTCAGTTTGTAGTCCAAACATTTGTTATGGAATCAAATCAGATATCATTCACAGGATTCCTACACTAGTGTAGTGTAGCGATCCTGGACAATGTAGAAACTATTCTATGAATGATATCTGATTTAATTCCATGACCAATATTTAGACTACAAACTGAATGCTATAAAAAAATATATGTTTTATCGCGTATTTCAATAATGATGCTTTTGTATTTCATCAGTGTCCCAACTCTAAAGTATTTTCCTGTATACTGATTCCGATCAAAGAACGTCTCTCACATTCTCGAAAATATTCAATTTGTTTTTTCATTTTCAGCCTGTCGGTATGAAAAAGGTGCCTGGAGCGAGTGCAACGCTCAAAGCCAGATGACAAGGAGCGACAAATTGAAACCAAACAGCGACGCTTCCTGTGAACAGAATAGGCAGATCACGAAAAAATGCAAAGCAAAAGGTGCCAAGCCGACGAAAGGTAAGAAAGGTAACTGTATCGGTTTTCCATTTTTATTTTGTTTTTATATTCCCTCGTCATTTCTTGTGAGCTAGAAACGCTTTCTTCTCAAGAGATATTCATATTTTAAAAATCTCCTCAAGAAATGATCATGGGAATTATTCCTCATAGTTTTTTTAGTACCCAATTCTTGATCATCTGCATTTATTCAATGCAATTTTTTCAGTTCTCTGTATAGATTTGAAGTGAAAATAATTAGAATTGAGGTGATTATCTGGTTGGAGACACTACACAGACTAGGTTAACTGATGACAAAAAACAGTATTCATCAATACCTACCTCTGTAGTGAATATTATGCCAATTGATTCCAAAAACCTGAATCCTAATATTTTTTGCTACGTGACATAGATAAATTGTAAATTATCAATAAATTTTCAATGAAACAAAACAGTGACAATAACTATAACACTCAACTGTTCGATTCACAACTGATAGAGCAACAGGCGGACCGCGGTCCGTTCACGGACCGTGAAAGGTCGAATTTCGGACTGCCGAATGTTGTAATGTGTTGTATACCAAGTATAAATTAATACGTAGATAAGGTATACTCCACCTTTATCAATAAAAATTATATTTTCAAGCCACATAGACTTACTACTTATTGCATTTCAAGTTGCCTAGTTAACCTGTTCTACAAGTACCTACAACTAATATCGTTCGATCAGTTTACTATCTAGCCTGTCTGTTTGTGCGAATGAGTTATATTTCTTGTGACTTCAATATTTTTAAATCTTTGTTACGCACACGAAACATTTTTACGGAAATATGCGCTTTCAAATGACAGGGACCCAGCCCTGTTTGGCAGAGAAAAAGGTGTAGTAAAGAGAATCAGGGATAAAAACCAAGGTCTAATATCATATCAGTGCATAATTCACCAGGTAGTTGTTTGTAGTAAACTTAGTGCTACACTGAAAGAAGTAATGGACAGCTTGGTCAAGTTGAATAAATTTATGAGATCTCATTCTGCTCTTCAGCATCGACCTTTCGAAGAGTTTCTTTCTGAATGTGATTCGGCGTATTCTGACTTACTGCAATACAACAATGTTCGTTGGCTAAGTAAAGGTCAAGCTATTGAATGTTTCTGGCTAATTAAAGAACAAATAACCTCTTTCTTGCAAAATTCAAATACGCAGGGAGCCAGAAAGTACTTTGAGTTCATAACAAACAAGCGCAATATGCAAGTTGTGGCTTTTCTGAAAGATTATTTATACAGGGTGTTTGGTAGCTGGATGCAAACCTTTAAGGGGGTGATACACTAGCCCATGTAGAACATATTCATACAAACATTTTTATTTTCTAGCGCGTTTTTGATTTTTGAGGGAACTTTCACGATTTTCAGTACAAAAACCCAAAATTGGTCAATTAAATGCTAATAACTTCGAATCTTAACAGAAATGTCCGGTTTTTTAAATTTATTTTAGTAGTCTTATGTGTCCCCAATCGTACTAAAGTAGTTTGAAGCACCATTGTGTCCAAAAAAGTTATGTACAGAGCATTTAAACTTTACAAAAAAAGAAAGAAAATAAAAAATCTG